TAGAAAGAGCCTGAAGAAGGATCTGTTTATTCGACCGCGAGTCAGGAATACCCTCGACAAAATATTCTATTATGCTTTCTTCGTCCATGTCGGCCTGGCCTGCAATTTCCATCAGGGAGTATAAGTACTCTAAAAGAGTTTCATTCGGTCGCTTACGCCTATTTTTCATCATGCGATGTATTTCATTACTACTAAATGTGCTACCGAACTCTTTTTTAAGGTTGCATTTTAACGAACCCAATCCTTAACGCCTCTCTGACTCCTGATGAAAATTTTCGCAGCCCCCTTCAGTAGCTGTTTCCCGTATATACATTTCTGCAAGTTATTCCAACCGAGTACTGCCGCATTGTCTTCATATTCCTGCAACCATTGATTGACGTCAGGCTGTCCACCTCCGGAAAAATTGGACATTGAATCTTCGATATCACGAAGAGTAAAATGACTGACTGTCTGATTCCCAGATTCGTTCGCAACGTTATCATCAGATTCCGAACTGTCCTCACCCCCATCCCTAGGATGACCGAAATGTTCTAACAATGTACCTTGCAAATCACGTTTTCGTCCCCTTGTAGCTAATCCTAACTCACTTAGTTTGTCCCTCAGCTCAGTAACGGTCAAAGCTAAAATTTCGTCAACGTCCATCTCAAGGTCGGATTCAAATAAATTTAGGTTTACAAGTCGAATTAAATCTTAAACTGGATATGTATATACGGGTATGTAACTACATATAATTTACCAACTTTATAAAATGAAGCTGTACTTAACCTAGGTTCTGATTAATATCTCGACACTTATACAATACAAGTACATAGATTTCGAGTTGTGATACAGATACTTTCCAAATTCATTTATTGCTTGATCGACATAAAACGGATAGGCGTTTTTGACTAATTCTGACATTTAATTGAAGCTATTTGTTTCAAAGTATTAAAATAAAATACGGATGGACTTATTTATACAAGCGTTACAAAATAAACTGACGTTTCACAACAAATTTTATTCAATCTAGATTTTTTTTGTTGATTTCTTTGTTTAAATACGTATTGAAATCTTTATCAAGCGTCACAAAATTTATTAGCACTTTTTTGTTTTTGTTTGACAACTCTGCGCTTTCTTCAAATCAAATCGAATATTCAACCGCTCTGTATTTATGGATAGCTCGCACCGGACCAAAATTAGAGTCCAAACAAAAAGCTTTATTTAACGTGGACGCAAATGCTCGCCCTCTTCATTGAACTGTAACTTTTATATCACACACACTAAGCAATAGACCAGAGGTGTCAAACAAGTTTTACTTAATTATGTACATATGTACGTATACACTAAATATCGAATTTACTTATCTGAACTTATACGCCAACCCCTGTCAGATCTCCACAATCGAACGTTGTTTCCGCGACCAATTTTTAGCTCAGGAACCAAATGTATCCGCAACCAATTGTTGTCTCAGTAGCCGAATATTTCCGCAACCAAATGTTGTCTCAGCAAACAAATATTTCCGCGAACAAATGTTGCCTCCGCAACCAAACGTTGCCTCAGCTTCCAAATATTTCCGCAACCAAATGTTGTCTCAGCAAACAAATATTTCCGCGAACAAATGTTGCCTCAGCTTCCAAATATTTCCGCAACCAAATGTTGCCTCAGCTTCCAAATATTTCCGCAACCAAATGCTGTCTCAGCTTCCAAATATTTCCGCAACCAAATGTTGCCTCAGCTTCCAAATATTCCCGCAACCAAATGTTGCCTCAGCGACCAAATGTTGCCGCCGCAATCAAATTTTATCAAGCTCGTACTACTTCCAACCCCAACTGTTCAGCGCTGTAAAATAGCTACGACCGATTGACGCTTTGGGTATGATTCCCTCTGCTCGTGGTAAATACGTATTTGAATATACTGTACAAGTGCTAATCGCTGCGCTCTGCCACCGCGCACACTGCTGTTTCCCGTCGCACACTGCGACTGCGCTGACGTTGTCTGCTGCTGTTAATGCGCACTAGTTGGGTCAATATTGCGCTCGGCCAACAGGCAACAGCTGCTGCTACTCGCTCTGTCGTGGCTCGCTGCCACCGCGCACTGCGCTGCTACGGTACAACCGCCTGTTTATACGGTTACCTCCAACGGTTTAATTTTTCCCGTTACTTGTTGGACTTGACTACCAAATTTTTCCAAATTTTGTATGTACGTAGGTTAACTTTGACGATTTTACGAACATACCAGGATATTGACTATGAGTTGTGGCACTTCGTTGAATTCCTCTTAAAATGGGTTTCACCGTTCGTACTGTGCAATTCTGACCAACGTCGCTGCTTGTCTGCTCCAAATTTGTATGTACGTTTAATTTGGCGATTTCGCGTACATACACAAAGACACTGACACACGAACTTTTACAAAACAGTCAGATATGTGCGCATGGATTTTCGCTGATTCTGATCAACGTCGCTGCTTGTCTGCTTCACGAACTTTTACAACAACAGTCAAATATGTATGTGCGCATTTTCGTTGCCGCTGCACCATAAGCAAAACGTTTTTATCGCTTTTAACGCACGAATATGTTACTTTATATCCTTTCTCGGCAATGAAACTATTATTTAGTTTTTATACGTTTATTTAACAAATTACTCTACAGATATTACAGCGATTAAAGTGCCGACCGTTCGCGTTCGTGTCTTCTGTTGGAATGATTTCCTTTCTGCCTAGCTGTCCTTTACCAAGTACGCTTCGTCCAGTCCGTGTTGCCGTGTGTCGAACTTGTATTATTGTTCAGAGTCGTATTTTATTAGTAGGTCTGTCCGCTTCTTGTCTGACATATGTTTTCGGTCAATCCCACATGTATATGGGTATATGAATAACGACCGCTTCAAATCGATCTCAAATTTGTACTTTCGCTGTAGAAGTTTTGGGTCTATGTTATGTAGTTTGACTATTGTCGATTAAATCTAATCTAATTCTTTGTGTTGCATGCGCTCCACGTTTTTCGTTTTCAATCCCATAAATTGTTTATAATGAGCTTTGATAAAATTTTCAAATCAAAACAAATTCTATGGGACTGAAAAAAATTACTTTTTACTTTTTAGTCCATTTATAAAAGCGTGGTATATTAAAAAGTTTTTTTACTTTACTTATTTTTTATATATTTAGTTAGACATACATATATCTACATAGTAGTAAAGGTATGTATATAACAAAATTATAAAATAAATGCCTTTTTTGAAAGCTCATTTTGCCTTTTTTAAGTTTTTGTAAGCTATCGATTACAATTGGTTTGAAATCGCTTCACTTCATTTCAATTTTATGTTTTTTTACGCTGCTTGTTGTTTTTGCTGTTGCCCCAATTTTGCGAGTAAAGGATAACGGACGTGCGCATTGCGCAACCTCTTATATATAAACCTTGGTCTCATTCATTGAAACGTTTTTATGCAACGGTCGGCATACTAGCGCATTCAAACGATTCAATAAGTGAGACTGCGCGCATTGCTTAGCTGGCGGTCTTCGTACGTGAAACAGTGATCATCATGCGGTGCCTTTTTCGAGACTTCAAGTATACTCGCAAACAATGCGGTGTAAGTATGTCCACCACCGCAAGTAATGCGATATTTGTGTGCATCGCATTTTTTGTCGCGTTCGTGTTTGCGGTGACTTGTATGACCAAAGCGTCGTTACTGCATAGTATGGCATCGCATTTTCATGTCGACTTCGGTTATGCGGTGGTATTAGCGGTCGTTTAAACATCGCATTATTTCCGGATATGCTTGGCTTAATGCGGTGCACCGCATTATAAGAGCATATGTAGGTATCGGTGCAGCGCATTTTATCGCTGCAGTTGCCTACAGTTTGTATGTATGCATGTTACAAAAAAATTTATAAATATGAACAATTAGTCAAATTTAAATACACAAAATATGTAATATGTATTTTCTTTTAATTAAATTCATTTTTATTTCACTTACACTCGAATAATGCGGTGCACCGCATTCAAACAAGCATATCCACAAGTAATGCGATGTTTGCGTTGTTTAAACGACCGCTTATACCACCGCATAGCCGAAGCCGGCATGAACATGCGGTGCCCCAATATACCGAGCCCTAACCGCCAAAATAACGTAAGCGAAATTTTTTTCAAAATTTTATTTTTGATGCAGAAATGCATCTAGCTGCTCTAGGAATATTTTTGCATCAAAAAGAAAATTTTGGAAAAAATGTCGCTTACGTTATTTTGGCGGTTAGGGCTCGATACAATAACGACGCTTTGATTAACGACCGCTTAAAATCGATCTCAAATTTGTACTTTCGCTGTAGAAATTTTAGGTCTATGTTACGTAGTTTGACTATCGTCGATTAAATCTAATTCTTATTATTGCATGCGCTCCACGTTTTTCGTTTTCAATCCCATAAATTGTTTATAATGAGCTTTGATAAAATTTTCAAATCAAAAGTTATCAAAACAAATTTTATGGGACTGAGAAATATTACTTTCTACTTTTTAGTCCATTTATAAAAGCGTGGTATATTAAATCGTTTTTTTTACTTTACTTATTTTTTATATATTTAGTTCGACATACATATACATAGTAATAAAAGGTATGTATATAACAAAATTAAAAAATAAACTCATTTTTTTGCCTTTTTTGAAAGCTCATTTTGCCTTTTTTTAAGTTTTTATTGCTCTAAAATCCTAACCCTGGTTATGACACCTTATAAGAAGTGACATAACGCCAAGCAAAATAATTGGCTTTCTCTCACTGTATAAAAAGTGACATAATTCCAAACTTTAAAATTGGAGTTATGCTTCTTAGGGTTATGTCATGGTACAATTTTTACATGGTGGGTCCCAAGCCCAGCGATCAACCCATTTGTGGGGGGGAAATTTGTTTGCGTCAGAGTCCGAGCTGTGTATATATTTCATTTTATTAATTTACGTGAACAGTTGCAATAAATTCCTGTTTCTGAAAATCTTAATTTGCATTGTTTTATTAAGTAGTAAATTATAAAAAACTATTTACCTGAGTAACACCTTCAGTATCGTTTCTAAAGTTGAAATCCCCAAATACAAAATATGGTACTAGCTCATTAAACTTATCCATATTAAACCTGAAATAATACATTTCATTTAAAATATTATTCCATATAACAAGTATTAATGTTGACCTTTCTAATATATGAACCAAAGCTTTTCTTCTCCTCTGGGAATAAATAGACGGAAACTCCTCTCTTGCTGTTAAATTTGATGCGTCATGAAATAAATGAATATTTACGAAATCTATGACGGTACCATTTATATCCCAACGTGTCCTCATAAATCCTTTTCTGGACCGTTTACACTGTGGAAGCAAATACTTATACTTTAAGGGCCGTTTTTTCAATGTCTGCCTATCACTACCTCCCAGTTAAACTTAAATATAGACGTTTTCGATATCATGCATATAACATATGATCCATAAAGAAGTCGCTGTATTTAACCGGAACTTCTACCTCTAATTTGTGTTAACCGGACATTGAACAAACGGCGCTCAGTTTATATTGTAATACATTTACACTGGAGCCAAGTGCGTAATTTGGGCAAAAAGTATGAATTTTGTCGCATTTCTTCAATATAAATTGCATTTCCGAAGTCACGCATTTCAAAGCATTTGAAAAAGTTACTAATTTTGATATTCAAAATCAGAGTTTCATGTGGCCGACAAAAAAAATTATTAATTGATCAATGTTATTTAAGATATAGCGAATATCTATATATTAATACGCTAACATAAATTTTGTCTCCGTTCGTTTGGCGATTCTACCGAACCGATTTCAAAACCAAGAACACCGTTGGAAAGGCATTTTTCAGTATATGAGCAGAGTTTTTATGGTTTCACAATTGGTTGAAAATTACGGCCGAAACCGTTGTTTAAACATTTTCGAATTGTGTATAGATGTTGCTGCAACATGTTCAATTTGACATGTTTCGCCTGTTGTTTCACTACACATTTGAAATTATGCTTTGAAATAAAGATAAATATGAAGATGAAGATATAAGTGAGAACGATGAAGTCAAAAAAATGGCAAAAGTGAAGATAAAGACGAAAATGGAGACAATGACAGATGCATAAGAATTAGGGTAACTAAAAGGGTAAGAACATTTCTTGAATTTATGAAGTAAACTTCTTTAGCGGCAGTTGGTTGAGAATAAAAACATAAACAAAATTGCCTAGAGGTACAGGCAAAAACGAAGATCAAAGCAAATTTAAACACTTTAAGGTAAAGGTGAAGAGGAATATGCAAAAATAATGATAAATATGAAGAAAATGATGAGGATGAAGATCGATATTGTTATCGATATAATCCCGATATATTTATCGATATAATAATCGACATTGCTATCGATAAAATAATCGATGTTGTTATCGATACTGTTATTGATTAAATAACAGCTATTGTTATCGATATAATAATCAATATAATAATCTATATTGTTATCGATACAATAATGGATATTGTTATCGGTATAATAATCGATTAAATAATTGATTTATATTGTTATCGATATATGCAATAATCGATACTGATGATTGATACATTTATCGTATTTTTCTATATGTTTATGGATATCGTTATCGGTATTTTTATCGGCACAGTTACCAACAGGGTTATCCATATAATAATCGGAACATGGAATGTGATCACATTAAATGACATCACATCACAGTATATCACATGATATGAAGAGACATCACATGACTTGACATCACATGATATATCATCGTATGATACGACATGGCATTACATGACATATCATATGGTATGACATCATATGACATGACATCAGAGGATATGACAACACATGACATGACATCCTATCACATCACATAAAATCACGTCACATCTTATCACGTCATCGTACCTCATCTCATCTACGTGAATAGAAAAAGAAAAGGATATAAGCAAAGATGTGAAAGATAAAATCAAAGATGAAGACCAAGGTAAAGTTGCCGATTTCAAAACCAAAAACACCGTTGGAAAGGTAATTTTCTGTAGATGAGGAGAGGTTTTATAGTTTCGGAATTGGTTGAAAAACGTCGTTTAAAAATTTCCATATTTGTGTATGGTTGTTTTTGCAACCTGTTCAATTTAAGCTGTTTCGCATTTTGTTTTACTTAGTATTTGAAATTAAACTTTGAAATGAAGATAAATATGAAGATAAGGAAACAAGTGATAACGATGAAGACAAAAAAAAGGCAAAAGTGAAGATAAAGGCGAAAATCGAGATAAAGGCGAAAATGGAGACAATGAGAAATACATAAGAATTAGGTTAAAAGATAGGAATCGAAATAAAATCAGCCATAAAGGTTACTGAAATATATCGAATCATCGAAGTTTATAATTATCGAAATTTATGCATGCTTATTAAGTTATCGCAACGTATCGAATTATTCAAACTGATCAATGTTTACTGAGTTGTAGAAATTTATAGAGACATAAACTTAGTTGTCCAAATTTACGGATAGTTATCGAGCTATGAAAACGTGTGGGATTAACGAAATTTGTCAAGTTAAAGAAATGTATCAAGTTATCCATATTTATTGAATTATCATTATTTATAGACTTAACAAAATATATCGAGGAGTCGTAATGCATGGAGTTTTTTCAACTTACAGAGTTACCGATAATTATTGATCTACTGAAATTGGTTGGTTCAACAAAGCAAAGTTTATGGAATTTTCAAAATATATCGATTTATCGAAATTTCAAGGTTATATAAGCTTATCGATTTATCACTGCTTATCGAATTTAATCGTCTTAACAAAGTGTAACGAGTTATCAAAATGTTTAGATAGTTTTCGAAAAATGTGGAGATGTCAAAAGTAAAAATTTATAAAGGTATCAAAAGTTTTTACATTTTTGAGTTATCGAAATTTATCGAGCCATCGAATTTCCCAGTTGTCGAAATTGGTCGAGTTAACGAATTTTGTTGAGTTATCGAATTTTAGTGTTCTTGAAATTCATCGAACTATCGATATGTATCAAATCATCGAAATTTATCGATAAACTTGAATGTATCGGGTCAATTCCAAGTCCTGCCGAAGTCCTCCAAAGACCTTCTCAGATAAAAAAAAAATTAGTTACGTTTTAGCAGAAGATTTTCCAGTTAGTTAATTTGTACCGTATAAGTATCGCTACGTGTTAAGTTAGCCAAACCTCTCCATGGCTTCTAAAACTGTCGAATTTTGACAGTAACTGGAACTCTCGTTTAACTTAAATCTACTGCCACTGGGTATTAAATTTTATATGTTGGATCTCAACAGATTTAGTGTAAAATCTTGCAATGGATACATGAGTGATTGTTTTCATTGGAATGCTTTGAAAGCAATAATGGAAACAGATTCAAATTACCGATTTGAAATCACGCATTTGGGTGCATTATAAATGTATTATTAGCAATAAAAGATAAAAGCAATATGAAAATACAAGCGGGCCCATGCGCAGACTGCGCAGACAGAAATACACAGTAAACTCATCCCTCTTTGTAGCCACAGATAAAAGCAGACTGTTCTAATAGTTCGGGAAATAGTAAACAGAATTATTCTTATAAACCCATTATTTTTATTATACATATGTGTATTACAAAGCATGAATGAGATTTATAGTACATCAGAACTTATACTTATTAGGTACATAAAAACATATTACAAACTGACTGATATATGAGTGTAATGGGTTGAGGGAAACATGGTGTTACTTACAATATATCTTTGTATACAATATTTGAGGTGAAAAAATATTCAGAATTAACTTTTTGACTAAATATTTTTTTAACAGAAACAATAATATCTGAGCTAAGGAAGCGGTGCGAGAGAGACAACTGTCAGTTTATCGAACCTTTAATTATTGAATTATGTGTGTCACAATAGTGCTACAGTACAAAATACTTTTAGTGTGGCTTAACAATGGTAAATTAAAAACAAAAACAAAATTACAAATTCCTTTACTTCAGAGGTGTTATGACCATTAATATTACCTAATAACCACTCAGGGGACCACTGACTTTTCAAATGACACCTCATTAGTGGAATTGCTTACATAGAAAAGTAGAAAAAGGGAGACTAACAAAAAAACACCTTAGAGAAATAATATATAAGATTTGAAATTTAAAACTCACCTCTGGAAACAATTGAAGAGGAAACTTTGACTTCTCTTTAGTAGGGACTGATTCTATATTTCCAAGATAAATACGCTTTCCCTCGGATTTTTCCCACGTTCCATTTACGAAGTTCCAGGTGCGTATGTTTCGTATACCTTTATGGCAGAAGTATAAACTCCCTAATGCCTGAAAAATGCTTGATATGAATATGTGTATGTATGAATGTGGAGCTCAGGATGAGATAAAATATCTACCGTAAAATTTTCTAAAGACTGACAATTCTCGTCCATGTATATCCGTACAACTGAAAATTCCTGCATTATATCAGCTTCGCAAAGTAATTTGACAAATTCTTTAACATGATTTGATGCTTTTTCATAAGTCTTGCCGCCCAACTCTTGCACGTGGAGAGCTATAAAATGTGGTTGCAGCTGCTTGGCTTTTAGAAGGATTTCTTCAATCCAAGGTTGTAGAAATCTGAATGGCTAAGGAAAGAAAGAATGAAATATAAATTTTTTATCAAATGTGATAACGATGACAGGAGCACGAATATATTGGGATAGGCCAGGGGCGCACCCAGGAATATATTTTGGGAGGGGTTTATACTTCTAGAGATATACATATCACCAGAAAATACTGAAAGTTCATTTCAGATAATATGCTCTTTAAAATACATTTATGTAAGCGTTATGCACAGTATGTTATAAATAAATACACTTTTTAAAGTTTCATAAATATAAATTGCACTTTATTTGCATAAAATTAACAAAGAACTCAAACATTTTTAACCGACTTGAAAAAAAGGTTATTAATTCGTAGGAGGTTATCAGTTCGTAGGAATATTTTTTCATTTTTATATATGCTACCACATAACTTTGGATCACGTGAACCAATTTCAATAATTCTTTTTTTTTTATCGGAAAGATGGTACCTCACGGGTCGTCCGTAATTTGGTTAAGATCCGATCATGAAAAAATAAGCAGTGTATGAGAATTGAAGTCGGTTGTGTTTTTGCTTAAAAATACTTGTTTGATAAAAATTTCTATAAACACAGGATGCGCCTAACTTTCAAAAGTAATAAAAAATGTTAAATGACTACATTTCATTTATCTGTTGAAATATATAAAAAAAATACAAAGAAGTTTTAATTTGTGTCTGTGGTAAATATATTTGTATGCATATTTCCCTCCACAGGGGGGTTTAAACCCCCAAAACCCATCCTTGCGCCCGGGCCTGGTTTACATATGGGTCTTTCCATCGGAAGGTCCACCAAGACAAAAAAAATAAAAGTCTTATATCTAACGTATTTACGGGCCGATTTGTCTGCTTTTTAAAATATATACTGGCTATGTAAGTAGAATCATGTTTGCGTAAAATGGTCTTCCTAGGTGGTACCAAGATATTTCGAAAACCCGTATTTATGGCCCGATTTGGTTCGAATTTGGCGTATGTAGTTGAAACGTAATAAGTCATAGACTTCCAACAAATTCACCCTGAATTGGCGCTGAAGTCAAAATATAAAGTATATTCTACATAAAATACATGTTTTATTTGCGTTAAAAATTCATTTAAAAGCAATATTAACAAACATATAACGATGGAAATTTATGTCACGTGACGCTACGTCTCACACTTGGGGTTGTAAAAGAAAATTGAAACAAGTTGCATTAATTCAAAAAACTCTAAAAACAACTAGAATTGCTCCAAATCATATTAAAATAAGTTTCATGAAAATAGCCATCCACAATTCGCAGAGTTTTGCGATTTTGTAAGAAAAGAAAAACTCTACTTCCATTTTTCGTCACGTAACGACACTCTCTTTAAATGCTTGTATTTCAGGACCAAGCAGTTCGATTGTTTTCATTTTCCGGTTAAATATAGAGCTAATTATATGCTATACAATGGCCCAAAAAAGTTAAAGAAAACAAATGGTATTCCTTGTTTGTATCACATTGAAACGTACGACTGTCACGTATGCGACGTATGGAAATACCCATATGTATTAATAAAGCTTAATCAATCAACTACGAATGACTTCACTTGACGATTTTTACCAACAATTCAACTCCAACGTCACCTTGCAGCTTTTTTTTCACCTATCGTTATCAATTTATATCTCGAATATGAGCCAAATCGGGTAATGCATAAATTCGATGTTTAGTAATAACTCGACTGCAGCGCCACTTGGCGTTTTAATTTCTGAAACTAAATTATACAGGGACCCACTCAAACAGGGCCGTAGCCGGTTTTTTTTTGGGGGGAGGAGGGTTCTGGCAATTTTTTTTTTAATTTCACTTTTATTTCAACATACTTTGATTAAAAGAAAAATACTGATAAAAAGAAAATATTTCACATAAACAACAAAAAATATAATCGATAATCGCATGAGTGGCATTGTGCTACTATGAGAGCACGGCCGAGTAATCATAGTCTACTTATTTACAGTAGTCGAACAAATTATAACCGCAACCAATTTTCACAAGTTTTAAAATATTATTTTTGCTGTTATTTAATTTTGGTTAGTTTTTGTAGTTCATTCCTTAAAAACATCCATATAAAAACAAGTTTAAAGGCAGTGTCACACGATCGGGTATTTGCCAAAATTTGGTGCAAATCGTATCCCAATTGTGTGAACACCCAAAATATTTTTCTTTATTCCAATCACAAAAATTATTTTCTTGAAAATTTTCAATAGAACATCGCTGTATCGCTTTCACTACAAATACATTTTTCCCATTTTTTTACCAATAGCCCATTATAAAAATATACAAATCTGTACAAATGTACCAATCGAGTGACACTGCCTTAAAAATTAATGCAATTTAAAAAAAATCAACAAATTTTCGTTAAAATTTCGAGTTTTTTAATTAAATTCTGAGTATGCAGTTTTGTGGCGCATTGAGCTCTAGTAGAATAAAGTACGAGTTTCAAATGGCTAAAAATTTCGATTGATTTTTTACAATTTTTTAGATTTGATCTAGCCATTAATTATGGCATTATCGAAATTCGTAAATTAAAAAAAAAAATTTACTACATGTCTCGCAGGTATGCCTTGAGGAGAGATTCATAAGGCAGTTAGTCTTCATAAAACACTTCATTTTCACTTAAGCTTTCAGTATTCCCCAATTCTCCACCGATATTATTTATATAGTACAGCGAAATTTCTTTACTACTTCAATCAAGAAGGAATCCGAATCCCTATGATACCAAATAATATAGGAGCACTTACCACGTAGAAATTACTGCAAATGAAATTTTTTCCGAATGGTATCTAACTATCTATATACCTACATAAAATGATAGCCGTCTTCGTTGTTCTGCGAGATGAGCAAAATAAATAAAAGCTTGTAAAATTAGGGTTAGTGTAGAGGCAGTGCTATGTACTATTTATTACTATTTACCACCAACATTGCAAACAAATTTTGACAGCTGCTTTTGTTCCATAGCGCCGATTGCGGATACTAAAATTTAGACCAGGGATGTTGCGAATGTGGAATTTTAGACATCCGCGGATGCGAATGTGGATGCGAATATCTAACAGCCAACATCCGCGGATGCGGATGCGAATGCGGATGTTAAGTATTTTTAAGAAACAATTAGAATCCTTTAGCTGTTTCGGAATTTGGGGAATCTGTAACTTCGTCAGCGTTTTTCGATCTTAGTTTTTGTAATTCATTTTTAATACTTTCCTCTGCGATTGGTTTGAACAATTTGTGCTTATAGCGAGCTAAATAGGCGGATATCAAAAATAAAGGATTATTTTCCTGGAATGAAAATTTTTAACAAAATTCTGTTTTCAAAGTCATCACTGTGAGCCGAATCGGATCAGAATACTGTTATTTTTTGAAAAAGCACCCCGTTTTTTTATAATCATTTGAATCTCAGATAGTTACACAATTCTTATCTTATTAAAGGCCAGACCTATAGTTATTTAATTATTTGAGCATCGGTTCTCTTTATAGCCAGACGTTGATCATTTCCGCTGGAAATCCCAATTAAAGGAGCTTGCTCTTTGACTTTAAATAGCAAAGAAGGGACAGTTTTACCACAGAAGTTTTTAGACAAGGATCCAATGTATATAACCAAAAAAATATTGCCCGAGAAGAAAATAAAATTACTGTTCTTTAAATTTTTGCTAAAAATAAATTCACCAAAGAGCCCCATTTGAATTATTGAAACGAATATATGTATCATCAAAAGCAAATCCCGAAAATTTGGTTAAGAATTACAGTGCATAGTTTTTTTAAGATTGGTCCAAAAAAATCATAATAAAGAAAGAAACCAATGCAGGCATTTAAAGAAGAGAAAACAAAAAAATATTGTCAAAAAGACTATATTCTCTTTGACGTACGTCAATTGATATCTCGGTTATATAGCTTAAGAAATAATGGCGTGTATTCATAGTCCAGCAACTAAGTCGAAACTAACAAAGTTGCAACTTAAATTTAAGTACCAACTTAAAAATTACCTCTATTCATAGTCGCATTTCAGACTTCTACTAAGTAGTTTCGACTTAGTTTACGATATAGCAAAACAAGTGTGGAAATGTAACTTTACGATATTTTGGAAAAATTACATTTTTATTAAATAATGTCAAGTTTGATCATCCGTTTATGTAATTTTTATTTTCATTCCACGATTATGCAAAAGAATAAGGTATCATTTTCTTGTTAATTGTGTGAAATAGCCAGAACAACCGATGTGAAGTCGCTGTTTATCGAAAGCATGCTGCGAAACAAACAAATAGTAGATATCTAAATGTTATGCACAAATTTACTTTAAAAGAACTAGCGTGAAACTGATTTATTATTTGAGAATTTATCTAAATTATTCCAATTATAAAGTTGTGATGTAGCATTTAATTTCATCTTCCGATTAAAATGGATCGATCTTTGTAAATTTTAATTCGATGGCTGAGTGGAAGATCGACCTATCTCGGCAGCCAGTTCAAAAACGCCCTATCTCAGAAAACTTTTCAAAAACGCCCTACTTCAGAATTTGATTGGAAAACGCCCTATTTCAGAATTTTATTGAAAAATACCCTATCTCAGAATTTGGTTGAATAACGCCCTATTTCATAATTCGGTTCAAAAACGCCCTATCTCAAACGAAAATACATTGAAAATAAGCTGAGATAGGGCGTTTTTGAATCGGCAGCTAAGATAGGGCGTTCTTCAACCAAATTCTGGGATAGGGCGTTTTTCAACCAAATTATGAAGTAGGGCGTTCTTGAAAAGTTTTCTGAGATAGAGCGTTGTTGACAATTTTTCTGAGATAGGGCGTTTTCGAACTGGCTGCCGAGATAGGTCGATCTTCCACTCAGCCATCGAATTGGAGATTATTCAATATTATCAAATTCACCCTCTACCAACTTAATTTTTACATATTTCGTCTGTTTTCCCTTAATTTGATAAAATACTTCTTCCTAGGTACGACTTAGTTGTAGCTGCAGCCGAAACTAAATTTTAAGTTGGTACTTAGCCAA